CCTCCGCGCAAGCATGCACTGCATGAATATACAGAATTGTTTTCAAACTTTACCATAACTCAAAAGTACTGTAAAATTAAACTACAAAGTGAAGCCCATGCATATAACCTCAACAAACCATCCATGGTCGTATGTTGTCAAAGTGTGCAGAAGAGAAACAGAAGATCTAACATAATAAGAAAATCTAACGTACTGCTTTGCACGACTCTTCTGCAATCTCCTGTTCTTCAGGAAGACATTCCAGCGCATCGAAATAAAACCACTGTACAATAGGATGGAATTTTCCACTGCAAGCCTGAAAGATAAACAAACAAAACCTTTCCATATAAGAAAAGCCAGGTACAGATGAGCAAGATTGCATTGTTCTTTCCTTGCTACTGCAATGTACAGTAGTTGCTTATTTGTACAGTAAAACGTTTTCCTTCAAAACGAGACATGTTCAAAGGCTAGTAGTATAGTGCTAATTTGTACGAGTCTTACGTTACTATTTAAATTATAATAATGTTACGCAATTTCATGCATTTACAATTTTATACAGTATATACGCCAGCATTGTAGTTTTATATCTATATACCACTTATCGATCTAAATTCTCCTCCCCTCACATTGCATTATAATCTACCTTCATGACTTCTTGGGCAGCAATACCACCAATGATGCCTTGCATAGGACACAAATCTCCCCTGGCTTGGTAAGATAACTCTCGTAATAATTTCTCGTCAATTTCGTCAACCTGGGATAACCAATCAGGAAAATGACTTTATCTTGTAGCATACAAAGTAAATATTCACGTAAACGTGTATTTGCTAATTTCAAACTTTTTCAGTAAAAACCCTGAAAGAAGGCGAGATAATTGATACATTACACCAGAGACCTCAAGATTGACGTTTACCTTGCTACAAGCTTTTCCGTTTATTTCTTTTGCTATCTCAACCAGTTTATTGCCGTCATCCTAAAATAACATACTAATATTTTATGTTGAAAGGATTTGTAGATTTCGAGTGTAATTTTTATACATTTATTACAAAGAACCAGGAGCAGTTGCGAAAAATGCAACTGTGGGCCCTGATAAATCCTGATATCCTCAAATAAATCCTGATATTTACTAATATTTTAGGATAGCGCACTCTTCAAAACCCCCTGAAAAACTGTTATCCATTTGGTGAAGTTTTGCCTCTTTTATAAAAAAAAGTTTAAAAAAAATCATCTTAGTTTCAACACTATTTTTCTACGCAGGGCGTCCACAAATTTGTAATTCGCATGGGTATTACGGGAAAGTCCACGACAGTCAGTTAGGCAATCGTATCATGTAGTTTCTATACCACGTATACATGTAATAATGAACATTTTATAATAAAGAAAAAGTACACAGTCATCAGGTATGAACTTGTTTTATATACAGTACCTTGTTTCTTGGGCGTGGAAGTGAGGAATTCCTTTTGTTGTATTCATGTAAAGCCTAAATGAAATGGCAGTTTGCGCAGGCTTTTTAAAATGTCGGACAATGAAAACGTGAAGTTTTGAAGTTAACAGTATATTAAGCGAGAGACACGTTAACAAAAACGCTAATAAAGTTATAAACTTATAATAAAGTTTAAATAACGTTTAAATAAAGTTAACGTTTTAAAAAAGTTAATCGTTGTTTCACTGTAGTTATTTTATAAAACAATTACCAAATGGTTTTCCGTGCAGGATGGCAACGCTTTCCAAAAGTCGAGCAACATCCTACTGTAAGCTAGTGCATCGAGGACGCTATCTTGCACGGAAAACCATTTGATAATCTTTATTCATTTTAATAACAAGAGAGAAAAAGTTTGAGAATCCGGCTGCATATTGAAACATTATTACCTGAAAACCTAGATGAAGTTGTGCTGGGCGATCAAACTTAGCAAAGTCAGTTATAAGAAATTCAGGATCATGAAGTGCTTTCTTTATTGATTTCTAAAATGAAAGGATTGAAAATTGCTGTTATGTACACGTAGCTCCACTTTCAGGGTCTATATTCGCATTCAATCAAATGAATTGAATGTAAGAGTATAAATAAAAAATGCTTATACTGATCTTCACAATAATATTTCAACACAGAACTAAACTGTTTAATACGTACAAAGTTCAACGTCTTTGGCATCTTGCATTGTACAGCATAACCACCAGAAACATAATCTGACAGTCCAGATGTATCTCCAATACTGAATGTGTAAGGGCCTGAAATGACAAAATATTTCAAACACTGCATGATGTAGCCCCCCCCCCCCCCCTGATGATAGTACTGTACAGTAGTTGTGTCCAAACTAGGTTAATACAAAGCTCTGATTGACGTAAATGAAAGAAAATATTACATAAAAAATTCAAAACCCTAAATTTAACCGAACCAAACGTTTCCAAAGTTTGTTTCCAAGAGCGGGTGTTAGCGTTATAAATTTAACAGTAAGGACTTACCTAAAACTTTAATTTTTCTTGGTTCACAATTATTCAGCTCTGTCATACCCTATATGAATTTCAAGTACGTAAAAGTGAAACAAATGTTAAGATATTTCACATTAAATGCCATGCCATACCTGACTCACTATTTACATGTAAACCATCCTACTTTTGTAAGCCAGCACGTGTTTACAAGAACCTTCGCAGACTCGAAACGTCGAATTTTGCTTTTAATTTATCATACTGGTATAGTTTTCAATCTCATCACGAAAGACACCACGGTAATAGTGCATGTGCGCACATCAGGAAAACATTTACCTGGACAAGTGGCGGTGAAGGTGAGCAACCGCGCGCCACACCCACCACACCTCACAAAAATTCGTCACACAAAAATTCGCACCCCCAACATGCAACTGACCTGGACTTCCTTAAACGTGACGTAATCTCCACTTTCGAATCCATGCCTTTGCTCATCCAAGCAAGTCACAACATTTTCTTCATCCTGAAATAATGAATATATGATGACATCAGATAGTCTTGACGTAACACGTCTTCTAACATGGATAAAAACGATTGATGGTTTTTTACCACAGAGGCTGGTCGTATAAAAACTCTTAACTACTCTTTAACTATTGTAGTTACAGTTTTGATTCAACGTTTCGACTTTATTTAGTCATCATCAAGAATGGATAATGTTACATACAGTAGTAATGCCAATATATACAGATAGTTTGTAATTTAACATCTAGTATTTTATCTACTAGTAGAAAACCAATAAGTTTTCGGGACGCGATGATGCCATGGTTGAGTTCCGGTTTCTGCTTGTAAATGGGGAGTGGTTCTTTGAATAGTAACACTGACCAGTGTTTTGCCTTGTCCAGGATGATAAAGTTGTGGAGAAGGAATAGTGTTAGGTCAAACCGTTCGCTTGTGTCAGAATCGTCGTTAAATTTCATTAGGTTGGTGATGTAGGTGAAGTGTTCGCAAGCGTTGCATAAATCTCAGATTTGTCAGTTGTTGCATGTTCATTGAGTCTTATGTGAAGGCATCTGTCGGTCTTCACACAAGACTCAATGAACATGCAACAACTGACAAATATGTGCTTAATACAACACCTTCTACATCGGCTTGATCCTCCGACGACAAACAGTAAAACAGCACGAGAGAACCAGTCTGCACGAGTACAGTAAAGAGACTAACAATAACGCTAACCTTTGTTATTGCAGAAACCATTATTGTGATGCCTTGTTCGCCATTTGTATCTGTGACAATGAAATTTTCTCCAAAATCACAGAAAATTTGACTGAAAATCGAAGAAGACAGGTTATAACAAACAAATTGCCTAGATGTACAGTATGGGGTTGTTGTACAATTACTTTAATTTGATAAACACACGAATAAGCGATAGTTATTAGTTAGTTGACATCATTCAGCAAGTGTTATATAACGAGTTTGAGCATACATAAGAAAGACAAGACGAGGTCAAAATATATTTCAAATGTTCGAGTACATGTAGTTCTACAGTATGCTGTTTTGACGATACAGTATTTACGTCTGTAACATTAACCGCATCAATATATTATTATATTGTTGTTCCATTGGTTGCAACGAAATTTCAAGACAACTTTGTTGTTCAAATACGGTAACGATACAGTCATACTGTAGTTTTGCCATGCATACCTGAATAGACCCCGTGTGTCTGCAACAATAAATTTGATTCCTTCACCGTGACAAAACTCTCCGACCCATTCCTGTTCATCTGCAGATGATGCTGTTAGAACAACAACCTTGGACAGAGAATTACGTTGAAAATTGTTTGTCGTAACAAACCTTTACACACATGGGCGGATTTACTGGGGGGGGGGGTGGTTAGGAGGGGTTAAACCCCCCACCTAGAATCTATATAACCCCTCTAATAAAGTGTTCAACCCCACCAAAATTTCGCTTCACCCTTGACCCATTTTGTGTGAAAGGCTTTAACCCAAACGCCGAAGCTCACTGAGTGGTGTCACTTGCACCCCACAAAATTTTTCTACCCCTCCTTTTAAATCAATGAAAATCCACCCTTGTTTACACAATCATACAAGTTGGCCAATTAAAGTTATCATTAGCTACAGTATATTGATGAGTTTCAACAAGGCGTGAGTGTTACGGAGCAGTAGATGGTTGTCAACTTCGGAATCGTTAAATTATAACAGCAAGAAAATTCAACTACTACACCTCTCAACTATACTTAACTTCAAATACGAAACTTCTAACGGTACATATAATGAAAATAATTATACTGTAACATTATTTTCTCGCTTAGTAACTGCGAGGTGATCTTTTTGCTGCCTTCAATGCCCGATGGTAAATATTAGAAAGGTTCAGATTTCACTTCCGCTACCTCTCACTGGCTTAATACGCATGTAATTGACTGATCGGGTAGAATAAATGCATCATCAATGGTAACGGTAGTCAAAATCACAACCTAGACCCTATATACAGGTACACTCGTAACCACATTATCTACAGTATACGTGAAAATGTTTACATAATCCCAATATCTTACAACACCTGGAAGTTTAAGAGTAATTCCTTTGTAATCTGTTTGGTACATGTCGACACAGGAACATAACTGTTCAGTTCAGAAACATGAGGTTGCGTAACTAACGCACGGTTTTTGCCAGCATCTTCAGGTCGGAGAAAATACTAGAAACACAATATTGAAAAAATAACAATACCATGACCTCTGAGCGTACAACGCACAATGAACGTTTATACACCCGTCATACACTGCCATCAAAGGCCACCTTTTTTAGAAAGTTTGAAAGGTCAACCAACTAAATAGCTTGTGTCCAAAGCCGTTTTTACACTACGAGCCTAAGCCTGGCCTGGGCCTACCTTTAGACTAGATTTTTGTAGTGTAAAAGCACTTCGGCCTGGCCTAGGTCAGGAAATCTGGAACACCTGTTCTGATAGGCCCAGATTTCCTGACCTAGGCCAGGCCGAAGTACGTTTACACTACAAAAATCTAGTCCAAAGGTAGGCCTAGGCCAGGCTTAGGCTCGTAGTGTAAACACGTCTCGAGACGCACCATTGCACAGACGCACGCACGAACCAGCACGAACCCGCGTGTCAAACACTAAATAAAATTCGCCTATAGTAGAAAACGGGCTTATACGTTCTTCTCAGTCTCGGTCAGAAGGTCACTGCAGTATTGAATAAATAAGCTGGTAATTCTAATTCTTGTAAGCCATCCGCGATATAACTTTAGTGCATCATGAGAAAAAAGTGTTGTCCTTTCTTTCCTGCGAGATTAACCCAGGCATTAACTTGCATTGTACTCTACTTTGTTATTTTACTACGTTTAACGCCAGACAATTTTACTCATCAGAGCACTAGCGCTCAATGGGTTGCGAAGAGAAACCGCGGGACATCAGTTGCATTATAGACGCACATTGCTTACAGTCCTTATCAAAAATCTGCACAGTTATCTAACAAATCATCTGCGTGATATACCTGAGATGAAAGATCTTCTACATTAACACTCCCAGTGTCATGAAGAGTGGCAGATTTAACTCCGCCAAGCACAATATTTTTAGCTATAAACAAAGAGAAATATTATTGACATTGAAACATTCGCGTAATGTGTTTACCGCTAAAGTGTTTACTAAAAGATTTCAGTTCACAATTAGCCATTTCCCAAAGTCCTGGGTCTAGTCGCACAAATCCCATGTTGGAGGGACAAGAAATATGGCAGCACACATTTAAATTAAACGTTTAATGTAGAAAAGAGATATTTTATTTTTGGTCGTCTAAAAAGCTAATACATATTTCATAGTAGATACTTCTACTCAGTATTTCATAGTAGATACTTCTACTCAGTATTTCATAGTAGATACTTCTACTCTCTCACAAATTAGATGCCTGTCACCATATATTTTGTCCCTCCAAACGATCCCAGAATGCACTGTGATCTCTTTTGGGAAAAGGCTAATTGACTTTGTTGTTACTGTACATTGGCCACCATGATTTTAAGAATGAGATAATTGTAATAACAAACTTAAGGATTTTCCTTGTTTGCAACTCTAATTTCATCCAACATGGCAAAAACCTTCATTCACCTATTTCAACACCAAGCCCTCGCATTCCAGAGATGAAAACATTAGATTTGGCCATCTTTTGCATAGCTTCATGGCCCAACACATACCTATGAAATACAGTTAGAATGAATAAATGTTCAGGATAGTATGCAGGATCTTAAGGCCATTTTCCACTTCGCCCGTATCATACCGTATTATACAACCCCAAGCTATATCTTCCAAGAGCAGAGAAAGGACAAGGAGGATTTGTTTGGGGTTGTATTTAACAAACACAGGTTGGCTGTAAAACTATACAGGGTATGTCACAATCTGTAATGAAAACTTGATCCAAGCCACCACAATTAAAGGTGAAACGAAGCCACTTGATCAACCACTGGTTATACAGAACAATGCACAGAACAAAAAATGTTGTATAGATAAATGGGAAGATAAGCATGGTGGAAAAGGGGTGAACAAAAGAAAAAGAAAGTGTCTAATTGAAACTTTGCATTTCATAAACATAGTAGACTGTTACTGAATTTCTTATCATGAAATATGTTTTGATGTTATTAGCAACTTGTCGCAGTGACTAACCTTCGTCACAGAATACTACACAGAAGTCCATCTCCATTGCTTTTTGCGTAAGCTCTATTCGTCATGATTCGTCACTCAGCAAGTACCGTAAGCAGAAGCAGTCATCCCCTGGACGTGCGCCGTTTTTAGTATTTCCAGGGGGTGACTGCTTCTGTTTACGGTACTTGCTGAGTGACGAATCATGACGAATAAAGCTTACGCAAAAAGCAATGGAGATGGACTTCTGTGTAGTATTCTGTGCCTTCGTTAATGAGAGCAATAATCTGTCCTCTAACTCCCATTCTTCACAATCGGCTGCACATGCGTGTAGAGGATTAGGAAACTTATTTTGAAATTATATATTGCAAAATATTTCACCAAGAAAATGTGGGAGACAATTTCAGATGTCAATGTGTATGTTCAAGTAGCTAAAGCAAGTATACTTTTCAGAAGATACACTCTTCTCAAAATTTTGCCAAAAATTGGGACTGGACTCATTCTTTTGAGTCTGAAGCAAGCGCGAGAAAAAAGTGGATGTAGTACGAGACTGGGACCTAGGTGTGACGTCACCGCTCAAGGTGCTTCAGAACGCCTAGCAGATTTCAGTATTTTTAATATGGCGGAAAATTTATATATACAAGTAACCTTTCAATTATAAATACGACAATGTTCGTTCATCATGTACATGTTCGATGTCTACATAACCAAATCAAACTGTATTAAAAATGTGCTCAACTAAAAAAATTTATATACAAATTTACGATACCGAGTTTGAGCAATCGTTGATGTTATTTATGTACTCGCAAGTTGTGATCAACACTAGACCATACTGGTATATACAACTACGCTTTCTACTTGACAGGTTTAAATTGCTGAGGAGATTGGAAATATTTGCCTGACATGACGGTGTTGTCAAAACATTCTTAGTCGGAGACTCGGCATAATTTTCAAGCTTCTAGATAGCATTTAATATGGCTATATATTTTAGTAAACACGAGTCATATTTAGCCCGTTATTCTATTCTGACCGTATGGCAGCGAAACGTAGCCTACTTCATTGTTCTGACAGCATTAAAGCAAAACTAATGACTTAATTATAAATGCAAAGGAAATTTCCATAACATTTTCCATTTACAAATGAGGTATGCTTGGTAACCAGGCCAGGGACCACTTTTTTGAAATCAGGGACCATTTTACCGAAATCTGCTAGGCTCTCTCGCTGAAGCGTTCCGCACAGCACACCCAGGCATAAAACTTTTAAGACTTATTTAAATATATCAAAGCAGCGAATAGAGAGAGAGCCTGGGACTAGGCTGGCACCTACTGTATATTTGGAAAAATCAAAGCTCACAAAATACAAGCAATGGAAATTCATTGTTGTATAGTTAAAAGTCATGATATTTGCTGTGTTGGTGTAATGTACTCAGGTGAATAAGTACTAATCTTTCAACTATTAGACTATTTTTGCTGTTTTGTACAAAAAATAGAAATTAAAATTTTTAGAATGTTGTCATGGCAACATTTGATGGTACAATGGGAGCCTGCATTCAGTGTTGGTCAATTGCCAATACTTCATGTTAAATCAATGTTTGGAAAATATAGACAAGTGGACAAGTGGTTGCTGCATGCATGTATTACAGTATGTAATTTAATATGTCAATAAAATGTTTATGGAAAACTGAATATCGATACAAATTTTGATCTTTTTTCTACTCTTGAACTGTACGGTCAGTATGAGTAGGTTACCCCCCCCCATCCACCACCGGAAGTGATTCAAGCGAATGACGTCAACAGGGGGTGTACGTCCGAGCGTTCGTACTTAGCGTGCGTCCAAGCGTTCGTACTTAGCGTTCGTCCAAGCGTTCGTCCAAGAGTTCGTACTTAGTGTACGTCCAGTTTAGTAAGCATTATGTAATTGTATTGCACATGTCCTGACCAAGTATGCGTTCTTCAAGGTCGAATAATGTTGACGAAGTTTCGCCTATGGAATTTCGGAAGCTATGCAATTTGTTAGAGACAATATTTGCACAAACTGTTTCTTGCGAGGTTTATGAGCTTTTCGAAGAGAGGTGCTGTGGTTGTAAACTAAATCGCTTTAGTCAGAATGAGTGTCTTATGTTATCGTATGAGGAGAGATCGCAGATGTATAACTTTGTAACTGCAAAGAGGATTGTTGTGATGACCCACTTGAACCTGGGGCTACGGTCTTTTTTTCAATGCCCCCTAGTTTTAAGTATACTGTGAAAGCGACAGGCGAGCAATTTAGAAGTCATGAAGAAGATCATTATAAGGCATATGTGGAATATTTGAGAAGTAAACTTTGAGATTCAGTGTAAATATGTTAATAATCGAGTTTCGTTTTTATTCTTTTTTGTAAAATTGGTGGTTCTTAAAAGAACCGGTGTTTTGGGTTTGTCTTTACTGTTGCAGCCACATCGCAAAAGCCTCTACTTCCACTTTTGCGCAGTGTTGATAAGCGTTGCTTTCCAGGTGGTTCCCACAGGTTTCTAACCAGATCAATTGATCAAATAGTTTTTCAGCTTTGAGACAATTGAAGCATTCCAAATTTACGGCCGGAATGCGGAGACTCGCCAGCAAGTCCCTTTCGTAATGTCCGCCTTTGAACGCAATTGTAGAGTTTGAATCTATCTGTATTTCACGGTAGAAATTCTCTACAATTGCCTGCAAGTCCGAAATTTGAAATGCTTTAGTGCCCTGTGGCATTCCAAACGGGAGTTTATGTATATTCTTCTGGACGAAGTTACACGTTCTCTTGTCTTTCTCGTTCAGCTCGTTCCAGTGTAAGCCAATATCGAAAAAGAACGACGAGGCTTCAGGGTCTCCGACCTTTATGACTCCCAGCTCCTTACAGAAAAATTTCTTTCCAGTTTGAAATCCGTCCATGTCAAGGATCCCAACGATGTCTGTTTTACACTGCATGTTGACTGATTGATTGTGATGTGAATTAGATTGTTTGAAACACTAATCTGCGTTCTTGCGTGCGATATAACTATCGCGTGTACAAAACGTTAATCCATGTGTTAATTTATGCATGCAGTCAACCAACGCGGTAGCTTTGGCAACAATAATTTGCTCTTAAAATCAGTGCGATTTATATAGGGACACCTCTCAAAGTGTCCTGCAAGCAAGTCCCGGGCGTCCCATGCATATGAGCACATGCTCATAAGTGCTCATGAGCACATGCTCATCTGCTCATAAAACTGCAATACTGCTCAATAGCAAGGCATTTCTGCACAGTCAGTGCTAACGGAATGAGCTGCCAATTTTGCGGAAAGCAATTTAATCGTGGTTACAATCTACGAAGACACGAAAAGGAATACTGTCCCCTAGGTGCACAAGAAAGAAACATGTCTCAAACGGACTTGGATAGCCAGGAAAGGGATTTTCAAGACGACGTTTCGATAACTTCAACTGAAGTGTCTGAAATTTCGACGATGACTGATAATGAGTCAGAAACTGAAGAGGAAATGGATCCTTGGATACCGTTAATAGAAGAAGCAAAGCAAATAAGTAATATAGCATTTGAGGAAATGAAAGAAAGCCTTATCAACAGTGGTGTAGATGAACAATCCGCTAAGGACAAGGCTTACTCTAATATTCTTCCTAAACTCCAGAAGGAACTGGAAAATATTTATATGGAGCGTCTCGTGTGGATGAAACAGCTAAAGAAAGATCCAGTTCATAAGAAGATTATGCACACAAAAAATACACTTGTGGAAAACGATGATTTTGATCCAGAAGAAGCGTTAGAAGCAGCTGTTGATATGAGAAAGTTTCTTATAAAAAGGCTTTTAAAGGGTCACAAATTTGATGAGGAGAATGATGATGATGAAGAGAATGATGATGATTAGACTCGATTAATAGGATTGAAGTCATGTATTCGAACAGTATTAGCACGTAAAAACATACCAGTATAGACCCAGCATGTAAATTGTGAGTCATTCAATAAATTGCTTTTTTAATTACTTCTCTTTTCTTGTCATTTTTACATGGGTCAGGCGGGTACAAATCAAAATGGCAAAAACATGCGAATACGAAAATGTATACATTTGTGTACATAAACTTTGCAGTGGCTTCCACGAAAAATGTACACCCAGTCTTCGGGCCTAAACGGGTCTTATGAGCAGATGAGCATGTGCTCATGAGCAGTTATGAGCAGGTGCTCACACGTTCATGCAGGATGAGCATATGAGCATGTGCTCATGAGCAACTATGAGCATGTGCTCATACGCTCATCGCATAAGATTGTATACCCGACATGATTTTGAAAATCTAACAGCCAAGATGCCTTTGCGTCATTCAGATAAATACGTCTTTCTTCACTTGATAGATGGTGAATGTCTGCCAAATGATTTGATAATTTGCAAAGGTTTTTATTTCCGCACAGCAGAGTCTTTGCGCGTTCGCGGCATCGAGCAAAATGATTACTCTTGTCAAACAAGACGCAGGGATATTGCTACGGGACGCCCGGGACTTGCTTGCGGGACACTTTGAGTGTGTCCCTATATGGGGGACGCAGGGACATTGCTACGGGA